AACCATAGGTCAACAATTTCCCATTTTCTGATTATGACAAACATATTGATTTGCAATGTATGATTCAGAACAAATTGATAGTTAATATACACGTTCCCCCTATCTAATTTAGCACGCATTTCCCTTATTTAAATATAATCATGCAAATCTCAATCTCTTCCCCCTTTTGGCATAAGCAAAAAGTTAATAACCATGTAGGAATAAGCAATAATAATAAACATAACGGATAAGTATAATAATGGCTTAGTTTAATACATAATCAAAAGTTCAACCATAGTTTAAAAACAGTTTTTAAAAAATAAATAAAAAGACTACGGTGCTGGAGGAAGAGGATGCGGAAATCGAGCACGGAAGATTGTAAAGAAGGTAGTCATATGCTCCTGTATAGTGGCCTGTCGTGCAAGGATCATCTCCTGTTGGGCTCGTATGTGACGAAGCTCACCGCTCATCTCGTCAACGGTCGTAGTAAGAGAGTCGATCCGACCGCTGAAAAGTGTGAGCTGATCCTCATCGAGACCCTGTCTAGTAGGTCGGGTAGCTCTCGATCCCGAGGTACTGATAGGATGGACGGCCTCGTCGTCGTCGTCATACTCATCTTCTTCAATTGGTAACGTAGACGGCCCAGTGGACTGGTCAAACCCCTTTGTTTCAGCCATTGCCCATTTTTTTTTAACAATTTTCATGCGTTTAAGGGTGGTTGAACTAATGGTGTCGGTTGGACGGGGTTTGATGAATGCTTCGTCATGAAGAGAAATGTCGAAATGTCGAAAGATTTTGGTTAAAAGCATGCCATAGGGAAGTGCCTTAGCCACACGTGATGAACGGATGAACTTCATAAGACCTAATGCAATGGTCGGAAAATCAACTCGCTGTTCGACAAGAAATGAGTCGAGAAGGAAGAGGTCAAAACAATTTACTTCATCCCGGTGCCCCTTCCTAGGTAGAATAATGTTGGCAATGATGTTTTGTAAAACTTTGCAGGGTAGAGTAAGTTGATTTGTTGAAATTTTTGTGATGTTTTCAAAATTCTTACCTGTAACACGAAGGTAAGCGTCGGTCGGGTCATAACCTTCCACCGTAGGGTGGGTTTTGTGCACGAAGGTTTGGACACTACACGGTTTAAGTTCAAGTAGAGTGCAAACAAGTGGTTTTGAAACCGTGATACGAGTGTTTTCGATAAAGCTTGAGATATCCTCTTGACGTGACGAAAATGTCATGTTTTGATAAAATTCTTGCATTAAACAAGGATAAACATTTTCTTCTAACGAGCAAATTGATACCCAACCCATGGTTATGAAAAGTTCCTCAATCCGAAATGCGGGTGCATCAATAGAAAATGAGGGAAAGTTGACGTTTTTACCTTGTAGAATGGGTAGCTTTGCAAAGGGGTTC